CCCAGCCATAGCCACAACCCTGGCTCACAGCCCTCCCGTGCACCCGGTGGGATCATCACCCTCCGAGTCCCCCTCAGCGTGGTGGACCATGGGGATGTCCCACCACCTGGAGCCAGCATCACCCCATGCACGACCAACCTCGCACGGAGCCCCAGTCAGCAGCACCGCACCGGGGGAGCGTTTCCCGTGGGCAACCCCAGGGACATCTGCCTTCAGGGATGGGGAGCACCAGTTATCCCAGCCCACCCCTGGCCCCCCGCCGCTCTGGGGGATGGAAGAGAGGGAGATGGAGGAGGCTTTGCTCCCACCAGTGACCACTGCAGCAGCCACAGCGATGCCCAGCTGGGAGGTCGGGAACTGGAGTGAGGTACGTGTTGAGTCCCGTTGTCCGTCTGTTCAACCAAGGAACAAGCTGAACAGGGAGAGAAAGGACAGTCCCAGCCAGAGCAGAACCGACTGGGTGATGGAGGAGGATTTTCCTCCTCCCAACCCAAGGGCTGCCTTTGATGTAGGACTGCTTAGAGAAGCCTCTTGCAATGGGGAGTTTGCAAGAGGTCTGGTTTTACTGGCGCCTCTCCCAGTGCCCTTGGGGTCCCCAGGGACTTTTCTGCTGGGCCACTCCGCTCCATCCTTGGCCAGAGCCAGCCATGGGGCGTCGGGGACATGGGGGACATGGTGGCGTGGGGCTGGTGAGAGAAGGGAGGAGCAGGGATGTGCCTCCTGTGTTGCAGTGCTCGGTCACCTGCGGCGTGGGCGCGATCTGGAGAACCGTGCGCTGCAGCACCGGCAGCGACGACGGCTGCGCCGAGGTCAGCAAACCCGTCCCAGCTCGGAGGTGTTCCCTCAGACCCTGTTCCTCGTGGCGTGTGGGGAACTGGAGTAAGGTAAAGAGGTGTGAGGCCAGTCGGGAGGGTCTGGAAAAATCCACAGGGAAAGGTGGGCAGATGGTGCCTCTCCTGGGGCTGGAGCAGCTCCTTGCAGCACCGGCAGCGACGACGGCTGCGCCGAGGTCAGCAAACCCGTCCCAGCTCGGAGGTGTTCCCTCAGACCCTGTTCCTCGTGGCGTGTGGGGAACTGGAGTAAGGTAAAGAGGTGTGAGGCCAGTTGGGAGGGTCTGGAAAAATCCACAGGGAAAGGTGGGCAGATGGTGCCTCTCCTGGGGCTGGAGCAGCTCCTGCTCTCGGGGTGGGCTCTCGCCTCGTGGCTCACAAAGGCAGAAGGTGAAGATTTGTACTTGCCACAGGGTTTAAACTGCTTCATCCCCTTCATTTTTCCTGCTCTTGGGCTGGTTAAAAAGCCGGGGATTTGCAAAAGCCAAACAGAGAGCAGTTTGAAAGCCTCTGGAGAATGTTCTGGGCACTCTGCTCTACCAGGAGGTGTTTGCAGCTGGGTTGGGTGAATCCAGTGGGTTCAGTGGTGAGGAACAACCCTCCCTGCTCTGGGCAGCTGCCATTTCTTGGGGTTATCAGTTGTCTAACGCGTAAAGAGTTTGTTGCTGTTACAACTGGAAACCAGTTGCTTTCCCGAGGGACAGCAGTGACAGGTTCAGAGCTGCAGGACTTTTCTCTAGCTTAGACTAGAGAAGGAGCTGAAGAAAGGTTGAGTGTCAGCTCAATCCAGCCTGAGGTGGAGCACGTCTCTGGGGTCACCTTGTCACTGAAACCAGGAATGAGCTTCTTCACACCAACGCCGTCTGAAGAAGCCGCATCCTTTGTTGCGGTGTTGGATGGACGAGGGATCGTTCCACCAATGGTGCATCCCAACTCCTCCCTCTACAAAAGCTTTAGACTGTCAAAACATGCATATTCATTACTTTCCCAAGAAATTATTAACATATTCCTTGCATATCCAAGCACTCATTAATATATGTAAATGTCCTTTTCGCATGCGCACTGGTGTCTTCTCCAGTCTCTTCAGGGATCCTCTGGTGATCACCAGAACTTTTCTCACTGTGCCCTTTAGTTGAACTTTTCTCCTGCACGTGCTTAGTTCATCTCTTGGCCTCTTTATGACACTTCTGTCTCCACAACACTGGCTTATTCCAACATCACCACCTTATCCACCCTATTGCAAAGATCTGGTGCCTCAAGTCTACTACAAACTTGACCAGGCCTGGCAGATATGGAGCTATCTTTCAATGCCACATTGTTGAAGCAGAAGGGGATGTTCTTTTGGTATCAGCCTCCTGTTGCCAGAGGGATTCCCCCTGCACGGTCCCTCACCACCCTTCCCCAGTGTGATACTCCTGTTGTTTCCCAGTGCTCCAGGAGCTGTGGTGAGGGGATGAAGGTTCGGGATGTACATTGCGTTGACACCAGAGACCAGAGGCTCTTACGACCCTTCCACTGCCAGGCTGTCCTCTACAAACCGCCAGTGCAGCTCCCCTGCCAGAGCCCGCCGTGCCTGGACTGGTACACGTCCTCCTGGAGAGAGGTAGGGGCTGCCGGGGAGGGGGCTGAGTTGGGGGGACACGCTTCACCCCCAAGCATCGTGGCGGGGTTTCCACGCAGCGTGTGTGCCTGTGACCGGGGCTTTCACACCCACAGTTACTTTTTCTCTCTCTCCCTGGAAGCCCCTTTGGCCAGCGCTTGGCGTTTGCCTGCCCACAGCAAATGGTCAGTAGCTGGGCAAGTATGTGGCTGTGGGGCTGAGCTGCTGGTAGCCACGTGCTTCACTGGAGCCCCCTGATCACTATGGGCAGGGAGGCAGCGGGCTCAGCCTGCCTGACCTAATTAATCTAATCTAAAATTTAATCTAAAATCTAAGCAGATACTTGCTGTGGGTCTTCTGGATCCTCCCACACCTGGGAACCTCCCAGCCAGTTTGGAGCACCAAGAAGGAAACCACCCCCCAGTAGCAGGGGTAGCTGCAGGGTGGGGACTCCACCTGGGAAGCAGATTTTCCGTGTGCTGATGTATTTCAGGATGGTTTTGCAGTATGTTCCCTTAAGACACCTTCCTTAAAAAATCATAGAATCGTTTGGTTGGAAAACACCTTTGAGATCATCGAGTCCAACCACACCTGTCCACTGCTAAACCAGATCTCTGTGCACCTTGTCTGCCCGTCTTTTAGATTCCTCCAGGGATGGGGACTCCACCACTTCCCTGGGCAGCCCGTTCCAGTGTCTGAGAACCCTTTCAGTGAAGAAATCTTTGCCAATATCCAACCTGAACCTCCCTTGGTTTTTAAGACACCTTCCTGGTGACACGTTCCTTAAGACACGGAGCACTCCAGGCCTTTCTCTTCCACCACTGGCTTCTTCTTTCCACGGTTGTGTCTCGACAGTGCTCGGAGTCGTGCGGTGGCGGGGAGCAGGAGCGGCTGGTGACGTGCCCGGAGCTGGGTCGCTGCGAGGAGACACTACGGCCCAACACCACCCGGTCCTGCAACACGCACCCCTGCACCACCTGGGTGGTGGGATCCTGGGGAGAGGTGAGCGGGAGTGGATGGGAACCTGTGGCTCCTCTCGATGGGACTTTTGGGCTAAATGCAAGGAATTAGGGGAGACCTTGTGGCTCTGTGCAAGTCCCTTGGAGGAGGGTGGAGAGAGGTGGGGGTGGGTCTGTTCAACCAAGGACCAAGGGACAGGACAAGAGGAAATGGGCTCCAGTTGTGCCCAGGGCAGTTGAGATGGGATGTGAGGAAGAATTTCTTTGCTGCAAGGGTTCTGAGGCATTGGAAGGGGTTGCCCAGGGCAGTGGTGGAGTCCCCATCCCTGGAGGGATTGAAGAGTCGTGTAGACATAGTGCTGAGGGACATGGGTTAGTCATAGGGGACTTGTCAGTGTTGGGTTCATGGTTGGACTAAATGAGCTTGAAGGGCTTTTCCAATCCAGGCCATGCTGGGATGCTGTGAATGGGTGGGGAAACCCAACCCTCAAAACCTCCCGGGGTCTGGTGCTGCCGGCACAGTGTGGCATTGGGGGTGTCTCTGTGGGACATGGGGACGGGTCCCCTGGGCTAATAGGCCTGTCCCGCTCCCGCAGTGCACGGCTCCCTGCGGCGGGGGCATCCAGCGGCGCCAGGGCAAGGGCATCAACACAAAGACGGGTCTGGCCGAGGAGGACAGCAGCCTCTGCGACCACGAGCCCTGGCCTGAGAGCACCCAGAAGTGTAATCTGCAGGACTGCGAGAGCTCCGAGGCGGGTGAGCGAGCGATGCCCGCGGCCGTTCTGCCCCAGCTGCACGCTGGATGTGTCGTGTTCAGCGCCGCTGTGATCCCCAAGCGCTGCTTTGGGGTAAATGCTGCGTTTTGAGGACGTGGTGGTAATTGTGGAGATTGATGTGAAAACCACCCGGGCTCTCAGTTATGGAATATTCCCTGTGGAGCAGGCGGCTCCTCTGTCATCAGCTTTACAGAGGA